ATGAACAAACATAAACAGATCAGAGCGTTGGCAGCAGCAGCAAGCTGCCCATCGACGGCTGATTACCGGTGATGGCCAAACAAAATCAAATAGGAGGGTACAAGAGATAAATCAACTTGAAGTATTTTTCCTCGACGCGTACACCTTGTATGCAGCCAGTCCCACAACCGCAACTGCAGCTCCAACTGCAATGATCATTAAACAGATTCACATTTCAGAATAACAATGATGAGAACCCCAAAAAAAAATCTTCTAGTATTTATGATGCAACAGATAAGGCATCAAAAATTCTTTGGCCACTTGGTCGCTGCAATAGATGAGCAGAATGAGTAATGGTAGACGTCACTAATCCCTGGGCATTTTTTCCCAATAACTTCTTCACAAAATCCCACAAGCTAAAAAGTATAATAGAAAACTAGGTTACACAAAAATCCCACAAGCTAAAAAGTATCATAGAAAACTCGGTTACACACACACATACTAGGTTCTATGCACGTGCAATGCATGTGGTTAAATACCATAATTAAGTAATTTTGATTTATTTCCTTACTAAAATTTATTCATTGGTTCTCTTTTGATAGTTTTTGCTCTCTTATAGCTCCAAACTTTAACATTGTGATTATTTATTTTCTTCCATGATTGTTTGAATGCGCTACACCGAATATAAAGTTTTGTGTTGATAATTGAATTGATAGGAAAGAAATATAATCCAAAGCCAATTTGAATTTTTATTTTAGTTGGACCAATATGAAATCGAGCATGACTTGAAAGTATAGTGTTACAAAAATGGAAAACACTTGAAAAAAATAGCATGCATATCTTACCTAAAAATTTGAATCAGATATAAAGTGAATTGTATGTTCACTTGTTCAGTGACCTTTAATAAGAATTTTAGTAATGAAATATGACACCTTCATATTTAAAGATTTTGAAATCTAATAGTACTACTACATGCTTATCGTTGAGCATGACTTTAATAAATGATCGTTCGTTGATAGTCACATCCTTGTAGGCTGTCTAAAAATCACAATAGATAGTTTATCCCCCATCAAACACCGATGATGAAAGTTACAATCCGACGACTTCCAGAAGGCTACAATTTGAAGACTTTCACGTAAATCGCTGAAGGTTACAATCTGACGACCTTCACAATAACCGATGAGAGCTCTAGTTCAACAGCATTCACAATCAACATCGGGAGTTACAATCTGACGACTCTCATATTCTCAAGGAGCCAAGACGAAGATTACAAGACAATGATCTTTGCAACGCTATGACAAAAGAGATTACTTATTGATACTCTCTCCAAAGCAAGACGCGGAACTCATCACCGCGCTCTAAGACCAAAACGCGGAGGTCATTCCCGTGTATCAACACCAAAACGCGGAGGTCCTCCCCGTGTGTCAACAGTAAAACGCGAGGGTCGAACCCACGTTACAACATCAAAACGCTGGAGTCGGACCCGCGTTACAACATCAAAACGCTGGAGTCGGACCCGCGTTATAACATTAAAACGCTGGGGTCGGACCCGCGTTTTTTTCAATGCCCAGCGGGTACCCAACTCCGCGTCTCCAGTCTAAAATGCGAAGTTAGGGTCCTGAACGCCAACGTGGGCGTTTGACTCGTTCAAACACGAGTTAAACGGTTGTAGGAACCGTTTTCCCTCCATGATCTGAGGGATTTCTGCCCCACTTAGGAGCGGATTAAGGGGGGGTTACACCCCTCTCAATCCCATTATGAAGAGAATTAAGGGGGCGGTTACACCCCTTAATTCCCTATAAATATGGGTAAACTCAATGGAGTTCAGGCTGGCTTTTTGGATCTGGGACTTGGCAGGAAAGGGGGAGATCTTGGAGCATCATAGATTGAGATATCAGCATTCATCCTTTGGAGCATTCCTTGAAGCCTTCGGCCTTGGCTTGAGAACCGATCATCGGTTCAAATCAACTCTTTTTCAAGAGTTTTCAACTCGTCCAGAGTTATCAACTCGTCCAGAGTTTCAAACTTACCACGCAAGTTCTCCACAACGTTAAATCGTGAGGAGAAGATATTGTTCCAGTGAATCAAGATATTCGGATCAACGGAGAGCAAACTCGACGCGAGCATTCGAGGGAGGCACTCCATCGCCACCGTGAAGAACCCAGTTTTAAACAAAAGGAAGAATCAAATTCGTTCTCTTCTCTTTTGTAATCAAATTGTAATCAGGATCGAAGAAATACAAGTCAAGTTTCTTTCATTTTCTTTATTGCAATTTTTTTAACATACAATCCCCAAATAAAATTACACGCAGAGTCATGCCACTATATAGGAAAAAGAAAAAGGTCGATTTTAATTTTTTTTACTTATGCTATTGTAAATAAGTATCATGTGTATATGTTTTGTCCATTATAGTGATTTCCCTCCCCTTATATGGCTTGTTATATTTCACAACATAGTTGATCAATGATTTCACTTAGTTTCTATTACAAGATTATTTGTATGTAATTTTATATTAATTTATGATTCCTTTAATGTTTGAAAAATAAAATATAAAAATTTATAAATGCTTACTAATTTTTCTTGTATCTTCCATGAAAAATGTTTTTTTGATTAGGACAAAATTGCTCAATAAGTTCTTCAAGTGGAACCAGTTGGTGTTTCTTTGATAGATGTTTTTTGTCAATGTCAATTAAAGTGCTTCATGAAAGTCTCTGAATTTTGGGTTTATTTTCTTGAATAATTTCTAGATTTGATGTGTATTGGTTATAAGTTCTAAAATTTCAGAGCATTTTGTGGTTTTTAACTTTTAAGGAAATTTTGTAATTTTTATGACCGACTTTTTTACAAATTTTAAAATTTTAAGTGACTGAAGGTAATTCCTTGAATTCATCTATATTGTTTGCAAGTTTTAAAATTCCAGAAGTCAAAGTGTTTTTTATAAATTAAACTTTTGAGGTTCTTTCTATAGTTTTTGAAATGTTAAAGGTGTTAATTAAAAAATTTAAACTCTTTGGGGACTATTATTATTATTCAGATTTCGTTTTTATTTTTTTTAGTTTTGAAAAGTCAGGATGTTTTGTGTATTTTTTAACTTCTAGAGTATTTTATGCAATTTTTGAAATTTCTTGGGTTTTTTTGTAATACTTTATGTATTATAATGTGTAGCTATGTATGATTTCTTAATCTTATTTTAACTGTTGAGTTACAGGTAGTTCACGTAATACTAGTATAGGATACAATTAGTATTAGGGTAGAGTAAGCTTTAAATGAAATATTCAAAATAATATTTCAGGTATTTTATTAATCTTTTTTTAATTGTTGAGCTATAGGTAGTTCACATTGGATTAGTACCAGATATAATTAGGATTAGGATAAATTAATATTTAAATAAAATATTTAAAATAGTGAAAGGTAGTTTTAATTATGGAAAGCTTTCCAAAACTCGTGCTTTTAAAAGTAGTAAAAGTAGTATGAGAGAGAGAGAGATGAGAGAGAGAGAGAGAGAGCTCAAACTTTGCCAAAACAGTGGTGAGGGCATGAGGACTAAGGACTCTGTTCCAAGAACTGGCTCTGGCGTTTCTTCAATAGAAACTTAAAAAGCAAAGAAGATACAGTCGTTGGATTATTCAGCATCAATTTCTCTAGGGTTTTGGTGGAGACCAAAGGCAGACCATTCAATAGTATTTATCAAATGACCCTGAACACAAAACTGCAGGAACGTTTCAACTATGGGAACATAAAACATCCGGAACATAAACATCGAACACCACCAGCAAAAGTCGGGTGCAAAATAAAATATTTGTTAAAAAACAATCTAAATAATGTATATCATCTAGCAAAGTTACTCCACAATAGCTGTTTGCTTATAGTTAATAATTTTCTATAATTACCAGAAAAAGTCGCAACTTAACCTTCTACAGAAATATGTAAACAAGTCAAGCATCTTAAAAAATTTAATATGATTTGAGTTAAAATAAATACCTGAAACAACCATGAGAGAACGATTAACAAGTCTACGATATTGCTTGCGGTTTCTTCCGGCTTCCGTTTCAGGGATGCTAAGATGGGGAAGCTGTGCAGCAGTAATAATTCTTCGGAACAAGTTGTTGACCTCACCTAACTTCATGCTAATAGGAATAGGAGTTTCAATTCCCATGTCTTGGCTCACCTGCAGGTTATGAAAAGACTAAATCACAGAGTAGCATTGGAAAAAATTTCCATACCTAAAGTTCCATGTTCCAGTATAGTAAGGGAAGTGAGAAGATAGTCACTTGGTGGTGATTATATCATTTGTCCTCCGCAAGTATGGATTTAAAGACTTTGGATCTGAGAAGATAGCCACTATTGGCTCACGTTTTATTTGTGCCTTGATTAATACAATTCCTTAGATAACCCATTCCTCTAGAACGTCTTTTTTTTTTCAAATCTCAGTAACTATGAAAATTGATCTTTGGTAAATTATTTATGCTCATGAACCAGCAAACTTGCCTTTTAGGTTTTACGAAAATCTCTCGTCCATAGTTGCAGCTAGGCTCAGGAAATGCCAATGACTGCTAGTAAAAAATTTCATGCGTTTCATGCATTCTTAAGCTCCTCTGCCAACATCTTGATAAGAGAAGTCTTAAATGCTGATGAGAGGATGCAATATAGAATTATATATTCTGGATAATTCTAGCATTGTACTGGATGTACATGGTTATAACCAGCAATGGTACTCAAACTTAGCATCTTAAAGCCTTTTTCCAATTGCAATACACACACACACATACACTGGCGAGGAATTTAATCAGTAAAAAACAACAGAGTCAAAGTTATGATGCCACAAGTAAAAAGGGAAGAACAATGAAGATTATTAAAGTTTACTTCACGAACAGTCAAAAGAAATTTATTTGGAAGTCTAAAATACCCTTGTGGAATCTTGTATGACCAAGGGGTACGGATCAAGATCATCTTTTGCAGAAACAATAAGGCAAGGAACTTCATAGCCACTATTTTCACCATGAGAAGCGACTTGCAGAAGTAAATCCATTGCCTTCTTCCACGAATTTTCGTCAGAGCTGCAAAAACAAAAACAAATAATATATTGGAATCATCCCATGAAGGGAATTTCCTAGACATGAACATGAAATACTCCATACCAAAATTTTCCGCTCAAATCCTGTCAGTTGAATGAAGTTTCTCATAGGTAGCTAGTTCTCATAGATGACTCAGCAGTCAGCACTATTAAAAGCTTGATTGCTTGCATGCCTATCCTTAATCTATATGAGACTCGAACCAGAGAAAAGAATGAAAAGAAATGGCAGTATCAGGATACTACTTCTGGTCAACAATTTGAGTACTATAAACCATCTAGACTGGCACAATGTAATTAGATCAACAACTGTAGTCTAGGAAGCAATAAATATTGTTCTGTTTATCGCAGGAACTCGCTCCATGTCAGTGAATAGTGTGGGTTGCATTCGTATCGGCATGTTCATTTCGTAATACAAAAATTGTAGTACATTAGTTAACAAAAAAAAACATGATAGAAACACTTGCCATGGACACAGTACACAGTTTATGCCCTAAATGCATCTGGAAAATCTTCCAAGTTACAAAAGGATGGAAAAGAAAGAATACACTGAAAATGAACTATTCGAAATTTGACTAAAATCGATTGGATTTCCAACTTTTGAGCGGTTGGTGTTATTGGAGTTCAGATTGTGGTGTTGATTGTGGTGTTTGTACTAGGATCAGTGGTCTTACTGATGTTATTCGCATTTAGATTCTCAAGAAATTATGGAAACCTCTAGTATATTAATACACATCTTATGTTGTTAATACGGTATGTCATCCTACCTGCTGATAAGTTAAAGCTTACTGTGAGGAAGAACGAGTGGCGAAAAGGGTGTAGCGTTAATTGATAAATAATTTATAGAAATAATAAGTTGCCACTTTGCACATGTTCGAATGGAGGCTGTCTTCTTTGCATAAATACAAACAGGTAAGCCACCTGGATAGGAAATTTTACCAACCTAGTAATTTAAAGGGTAGCAAAATGACTATAGTTCAATTGATATCATTGCAGCACATCATCCAGAAACTGTGGATTAAAAGCAGTTAAACCCCCCTTAAAGTTGGTCCAAACAAGGCCTATGAATGGTTCCAGTTTAATTTTCTAAGAATGTAGGTACTTCTAGTCTGCCATGTTATATCAATTACGCTGGGCGTTCCATCACCAGCTGTGTGATCAGAAAGGGAAGTGCTTGATAATTAGAAATAAAATTCAAAACTTACTCCTTTCTAGACACCAGTGTCTCTACTTGTTCTGGAGAAAACTTTGCTTTGTGTGCATAAGCATGCTCTATGTGGAAAAGTCATGTAGAAAACCAGTATGTTACTTTCCACTCTTACTTGAAACTCTGTTAAGAACACAAGTCCCCGTGTATGTACCTTACTTAGAAATGCTACATGTATGTACCTTACTTAGAAATGCTAAGTCATACACATGCATCCTTAGGCAGCCAACTCTAAGCCTTAAAACAAGAAAGCTTTGAATGGGTGTCCTCCTGTACATGCGTAGTTTTGAGTTATTGAGCCAAAATATATACATCAATTCTCTATCCTATATTCATCATTAAATCATATACTAACTCAAACACAGTAGCAAACACCGTACATACTACATTAACCAAAACTTTATAGTAAAAGTGAATGATCGTAAACAAGCTGACATGCTGAGTTGGTGCTAGAGACAACTCATATGCAAACATCAGAAAGTAGAATATTGCAAACCAGGAAAAGTCAAACTGCCTGCATTACATAATCTGCAATCTCAGTTAAACATGTAGCTAATCAATCACCAGGAAGATAGCAATGCAATGAGATTCTACTTGATAGTCATCACCACAAGATGTCATTCACAAAAATTGCAATGTCATGAAAAAATTCCCTAATACCTGTCATGGACAAAGACAGCAATATCACAAGCTGCCAAGGATTCCTTGTTGGACAAAAGTGTTTGGACGGAATCTTCTGGCACCTCTCTCAATACAAGAGTCTTCTTAATCCCCTTCAAAAATAATTCGAAAAAAATACTTCAGCATTCAAGTGCATCTGCAGGATATGTTTCTTTCATGCATGTCTATAGGGTGAAATACAAGATAAACCCGTAGAGATAACCACTAAATATGCAAAATTGTACGCCAACAAATTTTTCTCTCAACTATTCAGACAGAAACAAAAAACCAGATAAACGAGTAGAAAAGGCAAGTTCATATAACGTACAAGATGTTTGGTGAGCTCTTAAATTCTACAAAAGAAGATTAAAACATTTAAAACAGAAGATGAGCTGAATGTTGCCATTTATTTCTATTCTTTTTTTTAGATCGGAAGGCACTGCCTTGCGGTTCCAAAAAAATCAGCATTTGATGAATTGCAAGATCCTAGTTCCCTCCCTCCCTCCCTCGCAAGGCACTGCCTTGCGGTTCAAAAGGATCACAGTGTTTCATAAATCGTAGGGTCTTAGTTTTACCTCAAAAGGAATTTCCTACACCAACTGCTTATCTCTCTCTCCACACACACACACACACACATATATATATATATATATAGATATACACACACACATATATATAGGTATATATATATATATATTATATAATGGTTACCAGGTCGTTGTCCATTTAGCAAAATGAGCTATCAAGAGATAAATTGGTGAGGCCCCACATCTTTCAATGTGACTAGCAAGGTAGGTCTCATCACATAACTATCTCTTGGTAGTGCATTTAACAAAATTTGTTGCTACACTCATACACATTATTTTCATATATAAAGTATATGAAATATTGGATAATAGCAAAATGAGCTACCAAGAATTATAGAGATTTTGCACTGACATGACGAGTATAGTAGGCCTCACTGTTGTTGTGTACCTTGGTGCTTATTTAGCAAAACGAACAATTGTCTCATGCCCATTTTTCCCTTCATCCATCCATATACACAAATATATACCCACCCACCCGCCCATGCATGCATACATACATTCATACATACACATACTAGGTAGGATGTACATGCGTTGCACATGGTTAAATATCATGGATCTTAGTTTTTCATAGATATATTCGAAGTTGCATGGAACCCGGTTCGTTCCAGACTTCCAGCTCACGAGATGGGTACAGGAGTGTGGTATGCCACTCATTAGGAACACAGTATCGGGGAGCAGGCTTAGATGGTGATGCTAGGGTACCTAGTACGCTTTAGGTTTGGTTCTTAAATATAGGAATTAGAAATTTTGCAAGAGTCTAATTTAAGAAATATGCTAGTTGATATCAGTAATGATGAAAGAACCTTGAGAATCATGTTGCAACAAGGTATGCATACTTTATTTAATTAAATTCACGTCTTTTTGTTTATTCTTTTTTAAAAAGAATTATTTTTTCAAAATTTTATATAGTTTAAAATCTAAATCAGGTCACTGGAGTTGGTGAATCGGGTTGTGTTCTACGCGAATCTAGGACGATTGAAGCCGAGCCACGGTCGCTATAGCGTCCCACGATCCCGACTTCTATGGATATATTTTACTGTTAAAGTTATATAACTTAGAAATCGTAATATAACTATCAATATTTTTTAAAATATAAAAATTTTATTTCTTGCCCAGGTCAATATGTGTCCCAGTGACTGAATACAATCATCAAAATTGAAATAAATTGTTGACTTAGTAACGAACCTAATATGCGTAACTATCGAATAAATCTAGAGTAAAAGATTGGAACTGAGTCGATAATATCCTGTAGGTAAACAAATAAATGTTATCGGAGCTTCTACTTCTATTAAATAAAACCAATTTTTTTAAGGATAGATTAATAATTTTAAGAATTTTCGTTAACATAATGGAATATTCTATGTTGCTGCTTTATTAGTTAAGTTGGAGGGCAAAATTAGGGGAATGAAGCATTTTTTTTGGATGGGGGAGCGCCAAATTTAAAATTAGGATGATTTGATGGGCGAACTTAAAAATACCTACAATTTGGGATGTATATATCTAAAACCCTTTAAAGGATAGATGTCACTAAATTTACAATATTGGCACTTAGTCTCCAAAATTTTTGAAACCCCTAGCAAGTAAGGGAATTTTGGAAAACCCCCAAAAAAAAATTTTTTTTTTTTGCCTTTAACCCCATAAGGGCATTATCCCATAATTTTACACTAACGAATATTATTCGTTGAGGCAAAGGTATAACTCTAAAATCATTTCTATATGTAGATTAACCCATAAAATTACAAATAACCCACGAAAAATACAAAATTAAAAAATAACTCTCTGGAAAATATTAATCTACAAACAATTCCCTAAAGAATCTAAAATATTACAAAAAACACCCTTTAAAGTTTGAAATTAAAGAGGACCCTGAAAATCCAAAAGTTAACAACGGGGTCTTGAAAAATATGAAAATTACAAACAATTCCCCTTAAAAAATTTAAAATTGCAAAAAGCCCTATGAAAATCTAAAACTTGCAAGCAGACCGTAAAAACTTGAAATTACAAATAATGATCCAAAAAATTTAAATATTCCAAGTAGCTCCATTCAAAATCGAAAATTGACAACCCCTTTTAAATTTTAAATATTACAAACGACATTCTCTAAAGTCCAAAAATTACATACAAAACCCTAAAAGTTATAAACCACCATGTGCGAGCACGGGTATAATACTTGTATAATTGATCCAATTTGAGTTTGATAACAATATGTCTTAAATGGAATGATTGTAGAGACTTATAATATCAGATGGCCCCTAATGTAATTCATTGTTAGCCCACAACGAGGATTTTGTTCAATTTAAAGTCCGACATATGCATATCCATAACAAAAAAAAATTTCCTAATTAAAAAGTCGGTAAGAATTTAAAAAAAAAAGAATCTAAGGTTTTAGCATACATATCCCTCAAATCTTTTATATTTACAAATATTTTCTCTTTACTAATTATCATAGACAATGAAATTTAAAGATAAAAACAACTACAAATTATCAATTTCTTATCTTTTATCAATCCAATTTCATGTAGAATGAAACATATACGTAAAATTAAAAAATATTAGGATAGTATAACGACTTTTCATCTCTTTACTAATTACTATAGATAATTAAATTTTTAAAAAAAACCAACTCCAAATTATCAAATCCTTATCTACAAATCTATGACACACCAACACGGTAATTTTGGCGTTGTACCCGTGTCGAGTGCGGTTTAGGTACGTTTCTACATCCAAACGGAGGGGACACCGGAGTTTTGGAGCAGAGGAAATGGGTTTAGATGCAAGGAAAAAGAAGACTCTCTCTTTCTTATTTCCTTAGTTTTAAATTTGTTAGTGGAACATGACATCGCCATTCACATTGGTGCTTGACTATTTGCTTGTCTTTTCTTTAAAATTAATGGCAATGCTAAGAATGGGAGACATGTGTTCTCATATTTAAATAGGTAAGTGTATATGTAAGTATGTATATACGTATGTATTTATTTATTTATTTATTCTTTTTTATGCTTATGTGGAATATAAAGTCAAAGTTTCAAATGAGTTTACTTTATAATTTTAAGGAATGAGCTTATTTTATTGAGATTTTGAAATTAAACATAGTAAAATTGCTATAGTTAAAATAATTGTTAATGTTTTATATATATATGGGAGAAGTGTTCCTAAGGTGACGTCTTAGATAATCATCTAAGGACGCGACCTAAAATCACATAATTGAGCTATATTGTAGATGATCTGCTCCGTTGAACTTGATCTACATATTCTAAAACCCCAACACACCAAGTTTGGGATGCACCCGTCGTCGTTTGACCCTTCATCCACTCGTATCAATTTTAACGATTTCAAATGAATAGAACTTTTCACATGGCTCGACGGAGGGTCAAACGACGATGGGTTCATCCCAAACTTGGTTTTAGAATATGTAGATCAAGTTCAACGGAGTAGATCATCCACAATGTAGCTAAATCATATGATTTTAGACCACGTCCTTAGATGATTATCTAAGGCGTCACCTTAGGAACACTTTTCCATATATATATATATATGTCGTGTCCTCGTACCTTACTTTTTACAAATTTGCCGTGTCTCGTACCCATGTCCATACCCGTACCCGTACCTGTGCAACCTAACTCCTAATTTAAGGATATTAGGATAGGATAACAATTTTTCATCTTTTTACTAACTACCATAGATAATTAAATTTAAAGATAAAAAATCAACTTCTAATTATCAATTCTTTATCTTTTATCAATTCAATATTTTCAATGAAATACACACATGATATATATTTAAATATTTTTACCATAATTTCTCATTTAATTTGTTATTTATATTAATTAGGATATGACAACGATGTAATATTCAAAAGGATCAAGGGTATTTTTATCCATAGAATTTTTTCTCAAACTCACACTTTTAAAGGAAGTATGATATGATATGATGTACTAAGTATTATAAACAATAAAATTTAAAGATAAAAACAACTCCAAATTATCAATTCCTTATCTCCTATCAAACCAATTTCATGTGGAACAAAACACATGTATAATCTAAACATATTAGGATAGGATAACATCTTTTCATCTCATTACTAATTACTATAGATAAATAACTTTAAAGATAAAAACCAACTCCTAGTTATCAATTCCTTATCTTCTAATTTAAATATATTAGGATAGGATAACAACTTTTTCATCTCTTTACTAATTACCATACACAATTAAATTTAAAAATAAAATTAATTAAATTTAAAAATAAAATTAACTCCTAATTATCAATTCTTTATCTTTTATCAATTCAATCTTTTCAATGAAACACATACATATGATATATATTTAAATCATATGATAAATATTTAAATATTTTCACCTTAATTCCTCATCTAGTTCTTATTTATATCAATTAAGATATGATAACAATGTAATATCCACAAGGATCAAGGGTATTTTTGTTCAAAGAAAGCTTTTCCCAAACTCACACTTTTAAAGGGAGTATGATATATAACAAGAGACTAAACTGTAAATACTATCTCTGTTGTCATCTGACATTAATACGTCAAGTCTATTCTACCAGTTTTTGCTCGTATCTTCTAAGAAGATGAATAAGCACCGAACAAAGCCTTCTAAAATAAATAAAGAATGAAAGTTTTCAGTAGTTATACTGATACATACATGCTTCATATGCAAATAGCCTTATTATGATCATTAACAGGATGGATCAGGAATGACCTGAGAACCGAGTATAACTAAAATTGCAAGAAGTACTATTTTCAATTTAGGGACATGTTGTAGGCCCTTGGTAAAGGAAACCTTAAAAGCAGAAAATAATAGAGCAAAACTCTATAATAAAGGCTTTATCTAAGCCCTTATCCATATATGGGTCCAATATAGAGAAAAAGGCTCCAATAAAGAATTTGATGAAGTTAAAGGGGACGACAGTCAGGTGTAACCCCCTAACTCCCTAAGTGTGGGGTTCAACCCCTCTCCAGGGAAACTTACATACAAATAGGCTTGCCAATACAGACAAGGAACACATGATATTTGGTTACGCAGTTGCAAGGGCAGATAAAGAAAATGGAGACAACATGAAGGTTAACTTACTCCAGGGAGATCAACCACATTTGCCGTAAACCGTTCACTAGTTGTAGGTGTGTACTTTTCAGAAAATGCCCTGTTCAACATAAAACAACATGCATCTGAGAAATATCCGATCATGAAAGACAAAAATAGGTTAAGACAGAACAATACTAAGATTTAATCTACTCAAATTACACAAAGATTCAGAATAATATTTATATTACTTAACCTTCTGAGCAGTGAATTCAACAATGCAGACTTCCCAGCCTTTCTAGGCCCAAAGACAAAGCACTGGAAGACATTCCGTAGTGACTGATGTCTCTTACGATCTAACCGCCTTCTTCTGGTTATGTGAAATGCTGATGACGGATCACCAGGGTATCCAATGTATATCAGGTTCGCCAAACTACTAACTGGATCAAGAAGTGTCATGAGCGCCCACTGCAATTTCAATTTCATGGGATTAATAAAATCCTAAAGAAAGACTTATGATGCAAGAATATCATATAGCACACGAATAAGAAGAAAACGGCATAATCACTTACTTCAGATAGAAATCCATCAAGAGATAATCCTCCTAATACATTCTTTTCTGCAGCATCCTTATAAGGAGCATCAGACCAGGGGCTGTGATGCACAAAAAAAAGGACCAGATGCACAAAATTTAGATGAAAATTCGAATAAGAGGCAGAAGTTAAGATAAATAGATTATTTTTATGACATAAGAGCATAAATTTTGTTTTACTAAGAATATGAACCAAATAAATCCAGCCAAGTATGTGTGACTGCAATCATTATCTAATAACTTCAGTCAGTCAATCATATCCACATCGAATTAACAATCGCTATAGGTAAAATTGGCCATAATGTTTACACCACAGTTGCATGGAACCCTGTTTGTCCCAGATTGTGAGACGAGAACAGCAGTGTGGTATGTCACTTATTTGGAATCGGGTAGGCAAAACTTTTGTGGGGCCTCTAATGTATTGACCAAACATCATTTGAGTCATTAATGTTTGAAAGTTATCAGTGAGGGTCCCTTAATGCTTCCCCGTGATCACCTTGATACTTTATACAAACTTCTGTTAAATATTGTGACCTGACGATGACAGTCTTTCCACGTCATTGCTGCGTCATCGCCACTATCAGCAAAAAATTAGTGAAATTACAAGTTTAATACAACAAAAAAGTTAGTGAAATTACATGTTTGTATTGAACATGGATTTCCACTGGGTTTTTTTTTAAGATGCGGCAGGACCACGGCATTGCCACGTCAGCAAAATTTAACAGAAGTTTGTAAAAAGGATCTATGCTAATAACAGAGGTAACTTTAGAGACTTCTACTGATGACTTCCAAACATTAAGGACTCAAATGATTACTGGTCGATACATCAGGGCCTCCACTGAACTTTTGCCTGGGGATAATAGAGATGTAGGCTTATAATGTATGCTAGGGAACATGATAGGTTTTAGTTAAGTATTTAAATGTAGGAATTTGAAGAAAAAAATTCTTTGGTTGCATATAGCTAAACAAATACAAATAGTATCACAATTCTGAAACCTAACATATAGCAACATAATAAAAAAATATCTAAACAAATAAAAATTGCATAAATAGAAATGTTGCAAACCATTACATAACAAAGTTGCAAACAAATTAGTGTTTTCTACTTATTTTCCTAAAAAATTCTTAGCTTTCCCAAAATGTTAACTTATTTGATTTGTAAATCGGGGCACCAGAGTTGTCAAACTGGGTAGCGGTGGAACGCGACCCAGCTCGCAATTGTTCAACATAATGTCTCATATCCTCATACACTAAAAACATGAAGAAAACAGTGCTAATAGTTGTGAAGTATTCCACAACAATGGAAACATCAATAGCCATGGCCCGACGAAGGTTACAGTTTTTTTTTTTTTTTTTTTTTTTTTTCACCCCTAACAAAATAAAATTTCCATTTTAATTCCTGAAATTACAATCTTCCCCCTAAGTTTTATAATATTTGAGCCCAACCCTAACTTATATAATCACTAGACAATTAGGAACTTATATTTGAGCCCAACCCTAAGTTTAATACCAAATATGTGTCATGAATTTGATTTGATGTGTATTTGTTTATGTTATATAACATATATGAATATAATTGCAATGTTGGATTTTGTAGAGTACTTTAGCTATTTTAGCTAGCAACTATACATCTTTTGGACTCATTAGTGGAAGTAAATAATTCGTGAAAATAGCTACTTTTTAAATTCATTTATGGAAGTAAATAATTAGTGAAAATTGTCACCTGAAAGGTTTCCAACGATGGAAGATATTATACATCTAGCAACGAAATTGAATTTGGAAAAAGACTGTGCAAGGAATAAAAGACATGTTGATTCACACAATTCCACCATTTTGCACATTCAGTACAGTAAAAAGACAAGGCCAGAACTTTACATATATGTGGCAGTCAATGAAATGTTTATTTTCTATAGAAGAACACAAAGTCACCTTTCAAAGAAAAGATTATTCGACCAAATTTAAGAAGTATGTGGTCAGAAATGAAAAAAACTATATTCAACCAAATTAATTATATATCATAGTCAAATCCTAGTGACCGACACAAACACGTACAAGCATTAGAATAGCAAAAGATAAAAAAGAATACAACCATTGTTATCCCGGGCGCGCGCCCCGGGTGCCGGGCGCTGCGGGCTGGGACAATTACGCCCCGCACCAGAGGCGGGACGCTGCACGCACATGAGGCGCGCGCGCGCGCGCCTCGTGTGCACTTGACACCTGCATCATGTAATAGACTATTTCTTCTGTTTTTTTAAATAATTTACATATTACATATTTACATATTACATATTTATATCATGTAATAGACTCTTTCTTGCTAGTTGCTAATCCATATCTTTTCATGTTTAACCTATAAAAAAACAGTAATTAGTAATTTAGTATACTTGTTTGCTAATTGTAACTTTCTTCTCTAATTAGCATGCTAACTAGAACATTATGAACATGTAAATATGTAATTGTTACCTCCATTCTCCATCTTTTCATGCTAACTAGCAAATAGCAATTAAGAATGCTAACTAGAAAATTATGAATAGTCATGTTTGTTAATCACTTAATTGTTACTTAAAAATACATATATCATATTTTAAATGAAAATACATATTTCTTATTTGTTACTTGCTTGTTTTGTTTCATAGACTTTTACTTATGTTGGAGATTATCTTGCATTGTGATTTGTGGAAACTTATGAACTTCTCTATCTTATGCATGCTAATTAAGACTCTTTCGTGATTTAGTAGGTGAAATTATATTTCTTAGTTTTTTTATGTGACAATTTATAAACATGTTGCTTATATGCTTCTTTGTCTTATGTTGGAAAATATTAGTTGCTTATATGCTTCTTTGTCTTATGTTGGAAAATATTAGTTTGAGTTGTGCGCCTCAATTCAATGAGGCACGCGCATCGTTGTGCGCCTCGCGCACAGTGGGCGTAAGGGGCCTTTGTGCCCCGCATTGCGCCTTGCGCCTCGATAACACTGAATACAACTAACAAAGGACAGACACAGAGAGATAAGCATCCTAAGCAATCACACAGAATAGCTGTTTAGCTGTTTTATTATTTCTAAGAGAACTTCAAAGTTTGGAGATATCCCCACGTGAGATCAAAGAGAATCAAAGATTACTGCAGTTAATCTTTCTCTGTTATTTTTAAATTTTGACTTCCTTCTCAACCGTAAGTAGCCACAAAAACATCTCTGCTTATGGAAGATAGAAATTCCTTCTTACCTGTCCTTAGAAGTAATAATCAAGCAGCTTAATAAAATAAGCACAAGTTTTAATTTAAAGTTTAACATTGAGTTGAAACAGAAAAACAATAACTGAGCAAAAGGTAGCCTCGAATAAATTCTTTTTTATTTGTAAGGATATATGCAAGTAATAATACTGATTACATTGGGAAACTGCCAAACTATGCTTTAGTAAAGTCCTGTCAAAATGCAAGATATATACTATTTACAGGTATACAACTTTCAGATGGATAAATAGTCAAGATAAAAAAGTAATGCATACATTGTCCACGTCGAATGTATGGAAAATCTCTTTCAGGAACTCCACAGTTTCATTTGTCAACTCGACACTCTGCGTAAAGTACAAAAATACATTAGGATTGGCTAAAGTAAAAATTCCATGAAAATAGTTTATAGAACTCAAGAACTCCACTACTCTATCTTTGACATTGTAACACATTAAAAGGTAAAATGTTGGACAACACTGTTATAACAATCATGTCTACAGTTGTAACGATGAAGAATTTTAAAACATAAGGACACAAGGACAACATTCCACCTATTGCATGTGTGAAAATTTATATGAAATAGGAAGGTAATATTAAATTACTAAGAACATAATGTCTTATACCATTCATAATCTGAGAATTAACATTGTAACACTTTTATACTGCATAGTATAAGGGGGGAAAATAGAAAACAATGAAACATAAGGAAACAAAGGTACCTAGAAGATTCTGCTACTTATACGAAGGAGATCATTGTAAGATAAAAAAATAAGATGTCAACTCCATGTTTCCGAAAATTTTCCCAGCAAATACTATTTTAAGCATCGGCCAGTTGACAATGTCATCTTTAGCAACCAGTGAAAGAAGTAAGCTAGTTAGAACCTAAATTTTATATAACCAGCAGTGCCAATTTTACTTGATGTTCTGATTAGCATCATTTCAGTGTTAATGGCCTTCTAGATATAACACAGGATAAATACAGGAAATATTTAAAATTCAAGATACATAATACATTGTGGATACAACAATGGCAACTTTGTGCTATGAACTAAATTTAATTATGTACAACATGCATGTGTAAGATTATTATGGGTACAAAATCACAATATCTTATGTGACATAAGAAATTCCAACTTGTATATATATCATTAGTTTCTGAATTTTTAAGCCGTGTCTTACGATCAGCAGTCAGATTTCAAGTAGTACAAGCAACTAGTTATGTCTTACGATCAGCAGTTAATGAATTATTATGATCAAATACATGTTAATAGTTACATATCCAAGAACAAGTACCTGATCAGGAGTACGCTTGAAAGATGACGGGAGGAGATCATCCCTAAGTTTGATATCGTTATCATATCCATATTTTCTCAAGACTGTCCATGTTGTTTCAAGACGACCTTTCTCAATGAAGAGTGCATGAAGGAAAAGGAATCCAGTCAAAGTAAGACCATTTTCATTAACCCCGTCAGGCATCTTCTCTTGCACAACCTTCTTGACTCCAGCAATTTCAGTAGGCTGGAGGGGAGCACTGAAGCATTTAACCTGAAAACAAATCCTTTTCAGTTGCTTAACAACAAAAGATGTTACAATAAAGGTGAGCTTGCACGTGACTATAGTCAAGAAAAAGGGACAGGGAGCATAATAAAACCTGAAAGTCATTCAACTCAGAATCACTTAGTGCTCCATCCCTGTTAGTGTCACAGAGAGCATAATAAAACCTGAAAGTCATTCAACTCAGAATCACTTAGTGCTCCATCCCTGTTAGTGTCACAGAGAATGAATATCCTTTTCAAAGCTCAACTCAGAATCACTTAGTGCTCCATCCCTGTTAGTGTCACAGAGAATGAATATCCTTTTCAAAGCTCTTATACACCGAGGCTTCAATGACTGTGTTTCTTGGTCAAACAGTGGCGCGGTTGGATGAAGTACTGCTTTCTGTGCATAATAGAACACTTCTGGAACCTGCAGATTGGCATTGGTTAGGTTCAAGCAAACGAGAAATAGAACAAACACGACACATGAAAAGACAAATATAGCAGAAAGCACAGAAGTCTCATAACACCCTTTGATGTCTACGTTTACATTTGACAATAACACTCTTACCCATCGAACTCCACCCTAACTGTTGATCACTAAGTTTTATCAAGATTGGCTCGTGTATGCTAGAAAATTGGATGGTGTAGTATTGCAAGTTTACGGTGTAAATTTTGATCTTTGTGGCATGAGGACTAGTATTGTGACATTCCATCATGATTTCTATTAGCCCTTTCTAAGACACTCGAGTCAGCGGCACATGGGAATTTCTTAATCATTAACAGTATCCTATCCATATGCATGTGCTTCTCTTTTAAGATTCTACCAGCTGTCTGCATAAATGTTCATGTGACTTTGTTTCATATGTCTCTATGTAAGCACCAATCTAATTCATATCAGTTAAAACCAAGCAACATCTCAACTCATCACATGGGTCCAAAAATACCATTTCAGCGGCCCAAAATTTCAAAACCAAATTCCAGAGAAGCCTCCTAACCCTTTAACTTATCATGATTTCTTATAATGCAGCAGTCTCCGCTCTCAGTCAAAATTCACAATACCCCAAGCAAGATCCAAACTTTGGGGGAAAACACATAGGAAAACGATAATAATGTGATATTAACAATGTGGGACTTATTTGCGACAAACTTTTGACATAATCCCTAAATAACCAATCATAATGCAATCTAAAATGTCAAAAGCTGGAACTTTTAAAGTACCTGAATCTGCCTGAGGGAAGAACATTCAATGCAAGTCTCAATTTCCCGAAACTGCTGCATAATTGGCGACATAACCTGCTCCAAGCTCATCTGCTGCTCATCCCTAAGATCCAACTTGCATCCAACCACAATCACCGGCACTTTAATCTACCCAACGACAACAACAACAAAAAAAACAAACCCCATCATCACACCAAACATCGAAACCCTAGCAAATAAAAAAATCAAGAAAATGTTTCACCTCCAGCCTCCTCAGCTCCAGAAGCCAGTAGGTACTCAGCCGATCCAGCGTGGACGGGCGATCACAAGCGTAGGTCAGCACGATGGCGTCGGCGTTCTGGCACTCGGCGAAAGTCTTGCTCTTGTGCTCAGGGCTAGCAAAGACATCAAATCATAACATAAGAGATCTCTAAGAGAGAGAAAGTGTAGAGAGAGAGAGAGTAGAATACTTGGAGGAGGTATCGATGATGGTGAGGGGGACGCGATCTGGGTAGTAGTCCGTGGGTAGGCGGGTGGGTGGAACGACCCGAGGCACGCTCTCGGGGAAATTCTCGGTGGCGACGGAGATGATGAGG